TCAAACATATTGCCCAATCGAAAGCTCGTGTTCTAAGGAAGCATGTTTCCCAATTGAAGCATGTGGATCGAAACAAACATAAAGAGAGTCATTTCCTTTTAGCATAAGGGAGGTTCCTGGATTTTGAGTCGAAGGGTGTTCCTTCAAGGGAAGCAAGAACTTAGTCGAATCTTGTATGAAGATATCCCTTGGCTCAAACGAAGCTTGTGAGAGGAAAAGTCTGCAAGAGGACCTTGGTGCAAGTGGATTCGAAGGAGGTTTCAAATCCTCACGAAGGATGTACCCGAGTTGCATTCTAAGGAGGTTTCTAATCCAAATGAAGGATGTACCCAAGTTGCATTCGAAGGAGGTTTCCAAGAGTCAATCGAAGGATGTTGAATTGAAGGAGACCTGTTTTCCTCCAAATTTGTCAAAATGTTATTTTTATCTGTTTTCTCCATTTTTGACAGTTTCCTTTTAATTTTGGTATTGAAAAATCCCAATGCACTTGTTCAAGCTTGAACCTTGAAATCCTTGTAAGAAAAAGCCTTGAGAATTGAGAGGGAAAATTTTGGGGTACAACAAAGCCCATTCCCTACGTCATTAACTATTATTGCTATCCCATGTGAGTGCAAATTTCTGGGCACTTTAGTGTTCAATCATCTTCCACCTTCAAGTCATGAATGGCGGACTCGCCAATCTAATTCTCCAGGTTTAAGAAGATTGAACAGGGGCAGCTATTGTACCCCAAAATTTTCCCTCTCATTTCACAAGGGATCATCCTGGACCCTCAGGATTGCTTCTGTCAAGTTTCAAGTCTCGGATTACAATTTTCCAAGAAAGTCAATCACAAGGGCAAAATGGTCAAATGCACACTGAAAAGTCAAACTTTGACTTTTGGACCAAAATCAAGTTTCAAAAATCATATTTCATCAAGACATGGAGTTGGTTCATCAAGAAATCAAAAGTCAAAAATTACTTTGAAAAGTCAAATTTTTAAGCACTTAGAAAATTTCCTAAGAGTTAAGAAAATATGATAATTACATAATTTTGGGCCAGATTTTCATCATGATGTAAGATGATTCAATCAGAACTTTTAACATGAAAGTTATAGATCTCAGTGAGATCTAAAACATTGTTGAACAGAACTTCTCCTAGAAATGCTAGGATTTCAAGTTATAAATCCTTGAAGACACGTCCATGAAGCTAAAACACTTGGTAAATTCAAGGCATTTTTAAGTCAGAATTTAGACAGAACTTTTGGGCCAATTTTCACATAAGAACAATCAGAATTTGCAAAAGTGATGCCAAAACATGTTATCAAGTTTCCTAGAGAATTCCTTCAGATCATGCTGGAGCAGGGAGAATCGAAGGTCAGAGGTTTGCTTCATTCAGAACATGACCCTTCGAATCTCACTCTTCAACATCCAGAAGCTCTACTCTTTTATCAGAACAAGGCCCTTCGAATCCAATTCTTCAACGTGTGGAAGATGTGTTCTTCAATCAGAACATGACCTTTGAATCCTCGTCAAAGCTTGCCTCAATTTTCCAAGTTTCGACTGAAGTCTTGGACTGTTGCTTGCTTTCTGTACACAAGCTTCAACTGGGCATATTTTCCCTTTAAAAATAGCCTCCTTCGATTGCACCAGTGTCTTTGCATGCTGGCTTGACTCACAAATGCAATAGCTATCCACATACAAGTTGGATCCTTACTTCGATTGAGCATTTATTCTCCTTGGAGAAAGCTTATTTCCTACTTCTACTAGGCAAACTATCCCTCTGGGCGCACCTTCAGCGCACAAAAGCAAGAACTTCTCCAAACTAGCCTTCGATTCACAAAAACTCCAACTGGGCAAAAGACCCCTCAATGTGTCACCAGTGCATGTATCCCTCCTCTGTTTGTCTTCAGCACAAGGTCAAGACTCCTCCAAAGTTACCTTCGACCACAAGGAGCGGACCACCTTTGTGCCAGTTTCGACTGGAAACAGACTCCCCTTTAAAATATTTGTATACACTTCAGCATGCAGAATACCCAGTCGAAGTCTACACAAGATACCCATTCGAAGAGTACATGTTTTGTCCATTCGAAGGACACATAACTGGTGGGAACGAATGTTGTTTCAGTCTGGTCGAAAGTTTTGGAAAGATGGAGGATTCGATTCAAAAGATCAAGTTGAACATTTAAACCCATAGGCTAGGCTACGTGTTTCCCCTTTTCAGGCCTCAAACCTATGACTCACTCTATATTTAATTGTTTATACAAGTTAAAATAGGCTTTTACCCATTTGTTGTCCAAGACCACTTGCCCTTAATAGTATAATACTACTTTTTAGAAAAGTTTTTCTTGAGCCTTGCGCCTGTTTTCCTTCAGAAGGAAGCAATCTGTAGCGGTAAAAATCGGAGATCAAGCTATTAATTAACTTGACTCGCAAAAGCAAGAGTCGCCACAGCGCTTTATTATTTCCAAGGGAAAAGGGAAAAGAGCGAAATAAAACCCTAAAATATGCAATGTAAAGTAATATTTAAAAGTAATGAAAATACAATGCGTTTTTAAAAGAGATCGAGAGTTCGGGGGTTGGTTATACAATGGGAAGGTATTAGCACCCAATGCATCTGCGGTACTCCGCAGGAACCTTTTGAAATATCTGTTTTTTTGGTTTAAAATTGTTTGTTTGATTAAAATGATTCGTTTGGCTAAAAGATGGGTATGGACGAGATTTTTGAAGATACGACGACCTATTGTCGAAGTTTTGACTTAAAAGGTATGAGTCTGAAAATGGAGTCTTTGGGGAAAATTATCTTAAGTTTGGAAAAATAGTAAACAAGCAAAAAAATGAATGAGGCTATTCGCACGATCGTATGAGATATGTTCGATGACATGAAGTCAACAAATTTAATTCTTTCCCTTGGAGTAAGCAAAATAAAATGAACATCAAAATATAAACATTCAGAAGTTCACAAGAAAATAAATCTGACAAAAACAAATTAATGATCAAGAGGCACCGAGAAATTGAAATGACAGAAATATACAAATAAAAAGAAATATAACTAATTATCTAAAGAAGTTATTCGAACTAAATTAAAAATTACTTACTAAAATAATTCTAAACTAATTACAAATTCTAAGGTTATAAAAAAAATCTAGTATTATTGAATTTGATCTAAACTAAACTAAAGTTTTAAAATTTAGTAAGTTAAATCTAGATTAAATTAAAATCCTAAGGTTACTAAATTAAATCTAAAACAAATGAAATTTCCAAAGTTACTAAACTAAATCTAAATCAAATAAAATTCTAAAAAAACTACTAAACTAAATTTAAATCAAATAAAAACTCTAAAGTTATTAAACTAAATAAAAATTATAAACTTATTAAACTAATTCTAAATCAAATAAAAATTCTAAAGTCACTAAACTAAAACTAAACAAATAAAATTCTAAAGTTAACTTAAATAAAATCAAATAAAATTCTAGAGTTATTAAACTAAAACTAAACAAATAAAATTCTAAAGTTTACTAAATGAAATCTAAATGAAATAAAATCCTAAAATTACTAAAATAAAACTAAAACAAAATAAAATTTTAAAGTTTACTAAGTCATAAACTAAAACAAATAAAACTCTAAAATTTACTAAGTCAAATCTAAATGAAATAAAATCCTAAAGTTAATAAAACTAAAACAAAATAAAATTCTAAAGTTTACTAAGTCAAAACTAAAACAAATAAAACTCTAAAATTTACTAAGTCAAATCTAAATGAAATAAAATCCTAAAATTACTAAAATAAAACTAAAACAAAATAAAATTCTAAAGTTTACTAAGTCAAAACTAAAACAAATAAAACTCTAAAGTTAACTTAAATAAAATCAAATAAAATTCTAAAGTTATTAAACTAAACTAAAACAAATAAAATTCTAAAATTTACTAAATGAAATCAAATTCTAAAGTTATAAAATAAATCTAAACTAATTAAATAATTCTAAATTAATATTAAACTAAATTAATTATAAGATTTACTGATATATTTTTTATTTTTTTGAAACATAAAGAATTGAAGTTTGAAACAAAAGGACCTCAAGAGTCATGGCCAATTCTGTCTGAATTATAATAAAACTAAAGTAAATAATAAAATAAAATAAAATGATATTAAAATTTAAAAAAAAAAGTAAAACTAACTAACTAAGAAAAGAAAGAAACTTCAGGCAGTCTACTCCTATCTTCACTATACACGTTTATTTCAAAACAAACTAAGAATCAATATTACTAGGACACATGGCGTAATAGTTATAAAAACAAACAAAAATAATATTAACATAAGAGGAATAGAGATTGCAGTCAGTAAACAAAGAAATATGAAAAAACTCTTTCTTCTTAAATAGCCTATCCCTTCTCTTTGAAGGACCCAAAAACGTCATCTATTTCTTTCACAAAAACACCCAATTTTCAAACAAGCAAAACACATAAACCTCAAATCATCAAAATCATGTAATGAAAATACTGTGTGGTTTCTCTTTTGTTGGTGGCAGAGACGAAGCGTTGGGAGGTGGTAGATCGGCGCCGGTGTTCCTCAATGCTTTCAAATAAGCTAGCAGGGAATCAGAAAACTCCTCTCTATTACACACTAGCTGTTTAATTACCTTCTTCCTTTCCTTGCATATGCCAACTCTTCCATCCTCATCAATACTTGATAACACACACCCCATTTACACGAGTTCAGTTGATGAAAACACTAATCCACAGTCAAAGATATAACCCAAATAACCACCCTGGTGTTAGTAACAAGTTGTTACAATGATTTTCCAGCAGAGACCTTGTTAATGGTTGTTATTGCATAGGTTTTGAAGTGAAGTATATGTAATGATGTTTGTATTGCAGAGAAACTGAGTTGGTCTGACAGAGTTGGTTATATCACCGAGTGCAACGCGCTTTCGTTTGCGTTGCTCGCACAGTGCAGCTACTGCTCTTTTCTTCGCTTCATGTTGAGGGCGGCGCGTGGAGTTATCTTGGTCGGCCATGAAGGAGTTTTAGAACGGAATGGAGATAAGAGTAATAAAAGAGAATGAAAAGTGAGGGGAAATAAGGGGGTTTATGAAAGGAAACATAAGCGGGTTTTTGCTTTTGAAAATATTTTGCGGTGAGTTCTGTGTTTTGGGAAATTTTTGAAGCGGAAGCGCGTGGTTCAGGGACCACTGGAGTAGACTCCGGGGATTCAAGCGGTGGTTGGAGAAAAAAAGTGAGGAAAGGGATGCCATGGTGAGGAGGAGAATTGCAGCCATTGCAAGAGAGAGAGAAATAAGGGTGAGTAGGTTGTGTTGTGTCTTTATGTCTAGAAAGTTTTGTTTGTTTTCAAAGAAAAACATCCAATTGAGATGTTTTGTTTTTGTCTTTACATGAGGTGGATGTTGGTTACGGTGAGGTGGGTATGTGAGAAAGATGAAAGGGAATTTGGTTACTGTAAGTAGAAAAGGGGAATAGAGGGTTATGCGTGGAGAGAGAGGGAGTATTATTGTATTGCTTTTTGTTGTTGTTTTCCCCCTTACAAAAAGATAAAGAAGCTAAAAATAGAAAAAAGGAATATTATGATTTCAAAATAAATTCAAACCTTTCAATATAAATTCAATCTCTATCAATCCGCAAATCATGCTATCAACCAATGAGAATTAAGCAAAGCCTAATTAATATTTTTTGTGACCAAAAAGTCCTTAAATGATAAAAATAACTAAAAGAACTAAATGTATTAAAATTAACTCAATTTAAAATGATTTTTTTGAATATTTTATGAATAAAAAATAAAGACCCAAAATGACCCAAAATGATAAAAAACGGATGAAAATTCATCCGAAAAAATAAAATGAACACATTAAAATAATCTACATGTCACAAAGATTAAAGAAAAAATATTCAAGAAGTCAAAAATCAAAAATAAAATAATAATAAAAATATCAGACTAAACAGACGTTTAAGGTTAAAAACGAGACTTCGAACTGTACCGAAAAAATAAAGCGAGCATACCGTCATAATCTACGCGAAGCGCAGATTCATAAAATGATCGGTAAAAGGTGAAAACTTGAAATATTTTCTCGCTACTTTCCCGCATAGTGTTGAATCGCTTTTAACAGTCTGTCTATAAAACCGAAATATTTTATTATCGATATATAAACAACTTGGAGCAGTGCAAGAAACGAGTAAAGAGATAAAAATGCATGAAGTGAAATGTCAGGTATTTTTTAACTAAAAGACGATGCAAACTTTGATTTAAACTGACTTTTCTGGTCAACTTAAATACGACTAATGATGCAAAATGTGATGGATGAAGATATTTACTAATGATTGTGACCAAATAACAAAATATGATATGAAAGTGCGAGTAAAACATGTTAGGGGCGAAATTTAGGGTGCAACAGTTGTGCCTTGATGAATCAGTCTTCGAGAATCCACAATCAACCGTACTTCTGGCTTGGGAGACTCAAAACCTTAATTGAGGCGCGACACCTGATGCTCTTGATTCAGACCTGTCTCTGCACATGACACAAAAGAAAACATGAACATACACCTTTGTATGCGATTAGAAATTAGTGATACATAGGCTCAAAATGTTCAAAACACTTGACAATCTTCGCATAGTCAATGCTTGAAAGTGAGAGGTTAAAACCGACTGTATTTCGTGACCTTGACTTATCTTTAAAAATGCAAAAATAAAAATGGGATCTTAGGTCAAAAATTGGGGTACAACACAATCCATCTGAACCATTCATCTTGCTATCATGACACAAGTAGACACTTACTTTCCAGAAGAGCCTTATTTTATTTTATTTTTTTACTCCCAAACTTTCCAAAACCTTTCTCTATAAATAGAGAGATCCTTTGTAAAGAGAAAAAAAGAGAGAAGAAAGAAGAAGAGAGGAACGTATCTTCAAAATTCTCAAACATCATAAAATTCTCAAACACTTAAACACTTTTGAAAACCCAAATCCAGAATCCAAATACTTGTCTCTTTCAAAATCTGGAAAAAAATCCTTACATCTTTCTATCCTTCGAATCCAACAAAGAAGGACATTTCACTTGTTTTGCTCTTTCGAATCCAGCATCAAGGGCCTAACCTCTGGTCCCTCCCTTCAAATCCAGAAGCATTCAAGTTAACCACTTGAAGGTCCATCACACACTCCAGCCTCCAGCAAGGTAAGTCATTCTTAACCTTGGACCCTTCGTTTCCATCAGAGCATGTAAATAAGTTTTCTTTTCGTTTCAAACATGTACATACTATTGTTCTTCTTTTCGTTTCCACCCTTTTTAATATGTTTCATGGTTAACAAACTTCTTGGTTTTTGCTCTTTGTACATTTTAAACATGCTTTAAAGACTAACCTGGCCCTAAGGTAATGTTGGCATGGCCTTAGGCCATGTTGCTATTCAAACTCAAATGAAAGAAACAGGAAACAGGAAGTTGGAAACGAAGCATCTGGCTTCCATACTAACCTCCAGGTCAAACGAAAGAGGAAACCAAAAGGAACAACATGCTGACCCCTAGGCCCTAATCGAAAGGCTCAACATGCTGGCCTCCAGACCCCAATTGAAAGTCATGCCTTCACTCTTTTCAGGCCAATTCGAAGAGTGCCAGAAAGTACAGAATCGAAGGGTTTTTCTGCCTAAATTGAAAGACCCTTTTTCTTGCTTTTTATTTTGTTTTTGCCTTTATACTTTCATGCAATTCAATATGGTTGTAATGGTGTAGGATTTTATCTTTATGCATTTTTTGTTACTTTATACAAAATGTTAGTAATTAGGGTGTATGGCAAGATAAAATCAACAAGTAGAACACCCTGATCAAAAGACAAAAATGCATGCAGTCAAACACACTTTGCACATGTGCACCTCTAGGGTTAACTCCACTTGTTGCCTTAAGAAAAATGGTCATGTTATGCATGTGAGACATATTAGCAAAAACAATAAAAAATAAAAGATCATAGTCCCTCGATGATGCTTTGAATGTTGCCTTACAAATGATCTTAGTCCCTCAAGAGAAATGCTAAGATATCTCACAACATTGCTATCATGACTATACGATGACTCACGCCCGTCCCTTTTACATCCAAAAATAAGGCTTCTTACCAATCATAGGTAAGATAGCAATATTAAAGGAAGGGAGGAAAAGAACAAAGACTTTTGAGTAAGGTAGAATGTTCCTAGTTGCTTGCTCATTTTCAAAACACAAACACATTTTCAAATGCACCAACACTTTCCATGAAATATTTTCAAAAGTCCAACACTTTGTATACATTCTTATAGAGACGAGAATCATTACAACGTTTTCCTAAACGAAGGCGCTTTTCAAAAATACTTTCAAAAACCACCACAAAGCACACTTTCAAACAAAAGTATTAATCTAGCAAGCAACTAAGAGCCCATAATAACTATGGATGAAAAGGGTGCTAACACCTTCCCCTTTCATAATCTACCCCCCGAACTCAAGAAAATAATCTCCAAGGTCTTTCCTGTTCTTTTCACACTTTCCTTTATTTTGATAAAAGAAAAGTCGGTGGTGACTCTTGCTATCCGTAACAATTGCGATAAAATGCAAAACACCCAAGTCAGTTCTCCCACCGTGTTACAGATGTCAACTCAGGATTTATAGTAAGCCTTACATGAGTCAGGATACCTTTTTGTAATAGTATGCTTTCCAACTAACCATGCTTCAGTTAGGAATTTTAAGGGTTGTAACATAGCCTGGTTCATGGTTTAAGAAACAAAGGACAAAGGCTCAAAGTTTATTTGTACTCGACTCGTTCTCCATGATGTTTTTCAGTCCTATACTCAGTTAACTATGCATTTAGGTTCCAATAGAATTTGCAGTTATGGAACTAATATTTTGGTGGTGTTTCCAAAATTGGGAGTTTATTCGGGAAGCCAGACATTTTTCTTATAACATCCTTCTTTTGTTGAGGATTTGTTGCGACCTCTTTTTGACTTTATTATACCTAACTTTTGCCTGAACTGTTTTGTTTGAGATTATAGTCAGCGGGATGCCCCGGTTTTTTCCTAAGTCTCCTTCATAAGTTTTGACTTAGCAGGCTTTTATTTTGAAAGATAATAACTGTCTGAATCAATATTTATGAGGAACCATCATCAGTTTTCGATTTAGAAGAGTATCTTCGACACTGTTCGTCGTGTATGAAGATATATCTTGTGAATGCATAATTAATTTGATTGAGAAACTACCATGCCCCAGGTTATATTTAAGGGTTTCAATTTGCGTGAAAAGAAAACTCCTACTTAGGCTCAAAGGGGTTGACTAGGGATTAACTTCCTTATATCTCCATTGTTTAGGATTTGAAGCAATGCATGTACATCATCAGCAAGGTCTGTTCAAAAGCATGTTGTATGATATTATGGTATCGTTTTTGTCATCCTCCCTCTAAAGGCTTAGAACTTTAAGGAGAGTTGAATATCACAAAAAGGAAGTTAGAAACACAGTTTAAATATAGTGAAACGAATGGATTAATTCAATATGAACATATGCAATGCATTAATAGGTGTTGTACCTCAAAAGTTTCCCTCCCATTTTCACACAGAACATACTCCTAGAAGTCCTCAATTGCTCAGTTGACTAAGGATTGACCAGACAAATCCTCCTCCTAAGACAATGAGTCTAAAACTAGGGTTTCACTCCTCGTCAATATGTTTGAGTTCCAAGGGTCCTAAATGGTTTCCATTGTCCTATTATGTCCTCAAGATCATCTATGCCAAGTTTCATGCCTTGCACAAGAAGTTTTCTCAGTCAACTGCTCAAATGCCTGAAAATCAATTATACTAGGTCAAAAGTCAACTGTGACCCACATATAGTCAAACTTCAAGATTTTTGTGAACATCAACATTTTGAAGTAATATTCATCATTTGATCAAGGTTTGATCATGACTCCTCAAGAAATGCTCCTAACTCATCAAAAGTCAAAAATGGCTATTTAGGGTTTCTATAGGAAAAGTCAACCAAACTTTGACCAAGCATAACTTTCTCATACTTTATCAGATATTTTCCAACCGATGCTCATTTTGAAGAGAACCCAATTCATTACAACTTCTCTTCATCCCTTAAGGTCAAGAAACGCCTCAATCAAAAGATACAAGTTCCTACATTATAGGTCATTTCAAAAAGTCAACAAAAACACTTATTGGGTCAAAGCTCCTTACATGAACATGAAAGATCCAATTGAGATGAAACCAAAAGGGTTGTTTATAGGACATCCTAATATTTCTAAAAAGTCCAAGAACACATTCTTAGGGTTAAAAATGAGAGAGATGTGTATTGCTAAAGTTGACCAATT